GGGCTGCTATCCAAGAGACTATGGAGAGTTACGAGGTCGAAATTGGGGGAACAACTAACCAAGTGAAGCCAATTCGCAACCTGAACGGCCACAATATCAATCAATTCCAGATCCATGGCGGCAAGAGCGTTCCGATTGTTAAGGGTGGAGACCACACCAAGATGGAGGAAGGAGAAACCTTTGCTATTGAAACATTCGGCAGCACCGGGAAAGGTTATGTCCGCGATGATGTATATTTTTTCGGGTTTACTCTCTTGAAGATGGTTTACTGATGAGGACTAGTTGGAGGTTTCGCATTACGCTAGACGGATAGATGCACCTAATATCTCCCTACGCCTTACTTCTGCCAAGAATATCCTCAATGTCATCAACAAGAACTTTGGGACATTACCTTTCTGCAGGAGGTATCTCGATCGTCTTGGGCAGGATAAGTATCTTCTCGGGGTTTGTGCCACTTTGCTGTAGCATGGATGGACTGAGTTGACAAATGCAGTTGAACAATCTCGTTGCTAGTGGTATCGTGGAAGCATATCCGCCTTTGTGCGATATCAAGGGGTCTTACACTGCCCAGTATGAACACGTATGAGAACTCTAATAACCCGGTGCTACGAGCACTTTGCTAACCAAATTCGGCAGACAATCTTGCTCAGACCAACCATCAAGGAGGTGGTAAGTAGGGGTGTCGATTACTAGTGCTGGATTCTTTCTGTACCCTTTTTGCTCGGAAAATAATTGCATCAGAATCGATAGAAATGGTCGATGGTGGTTCTTCATGTCTTTTTTAACATACCAAAATGGGAAGGGGATTGTTGTTTTCATGTTCCGCTTATTTGGGGGGTTCGCGGTTTGGCACTGAAATTCCGGGGCTTCGTCCATTGTCGCCATTTTCTCCACTGTATTGAAAACCAGAAAAAAAGCTTATCAAATATTTGGCTGTAAGCGGGCTAGCTACTACTACCAGCAATATTACTATAAAGACGAGCCCCAAGTAATACAATACTCGTGGCTTGCAAAATGCTTACGGCCAGCAATGCTCTGCTATCGATAATTGATACGAGTATCATTCCGATGGTCCCGACGGGGTTAGGTTCCACAAGCCACAAACCCTCATGTGGCTGATAAAGAAAAACGTCCTCCAAACATCATCTTCCTCTCCCCCCACCCAACCAGACCCCACCGCAAGCCACACACAACAGCCGGCAAAGATGGGACAAAAGGTGAATGGCCACAATGTCACTCGAGCAATCTCCCGATCTCATCAAAAACCTGCCATACTAACGTCCTACCTTCCAGGCAATGCGCCTCCCCCCTCTGAAAAAATTCCGCATCAAAAAACCAGATGAACCGACGGTAAACCCGTGTCTTGCAGTCATGGCATCATTGCTCGGATGCTGGGCATCGCAGGGCTTCACGCCCGAGGGATGCGGAAGGATCGAGGAACAGCTGAGGAGCTGTATGGATGCTAAGGTTCGTCAAAAACTCTTCACCTAATTTAAGATACAGAATGAGTAGGTTGGTTGTTGATGCCGGGGAATGATAGAAACAAGCCCCACCACCGAGGAACAACATCAATTATCATTTAGGGAGGCTATACCCCCTTATGCGGCCCCAGCATAAGAAGCCGAAGGGGTATCAGTGAAAGTGTTGGGAAGGATTTTGTAAGATGCAGTATTGTGCAAGAAGAGGAAGTGGAGGCAATAGAGGGGCTTTCGCTTCTTTTTATGTTTATGTGTACTAGTACAGGTGTATTGGGCAGCATATTTACCGGGTCCCCTTTTCGAGAGCTTGGTGATTGATAGCCAGGGTGTTTATCGTGTGTCGGTAGATGGCCGTTTTTCTTTCTGGGGCAGTGTGGAGTATTGTGCCATAAATGATGCTTAGGGTAACGTGCGCCTTCCCTTCCATGAACGGGGTGCGATTCTTAGCCTAGCAGCCTGGGCGGCGAAATTAGTCAAGCTGGAAAGTTTTTTCTCTCCAGTTTTATGACGGTTTCCCCCCCCTCGGATTCACGATTCAGTTGCCCTTCCAGAGTTGTTTCAAACACAGTGATCCAGGCGCGCAGATTATGCCAGTACTGTACCGTACGCGAACTCATTCTCAGGGACCCTAGGACCGACTGCAACAGACTTTTCTTTCGACCCATGACGGACCTCACTCGGATTTCTATAGGCATGGGCCGAACCAGGCTTCATCGCCGCTCCGATCACACGGCATAGAGAAGGGCTCGTAATACCTTTAGATCCACCTCAGAGATAGATTGCCATAGTGTGCTCGAGTACCAGTACTTTTCTGACCACGCAACCTGCACATACGGTATAGTCTGTGTTTTTCTGCACTTTTTCAGCTGAGCACACCGCACTCACACAAGTTTTTCTCCTCCTGGCACTACCAACACAGCCCTTCCCCTTCAGTACAGTAAGAGTTTTCACTCAATTGTGCTGGAGACTGTTAGGAATACCGGGATCTGATACCTAGGAACCACCCTAAGTAGGGTAACCCCACTCGGAATCAGAATCCTTGGTCTCCAACACCCCCTTGCAGCCAGATCAAGGGACCTGCACATTGTCATACATATTGATCTCAATTCGGTCCTGTGACTATAATGCCACAGAATTGAAGGTGCAAGAATAACACTGTGTATGTCACTGCCGTCTGTCCGACCTGATCCTGTTGGTAGGATATACGTGAGGGGACCTTTGGCTAGGTCTGGGAAGTGGAACAGAGTAAATCAGTCAACTACTCAGAGAGTTACTAGACTTCAAAGATGTGACAACTTTGGTACAGGGAGTAGGTAATGGGACATTTTCACATAAAGAGATGGTATCGAATGGTAAAGGATTTCAACCAGAATTCAATACATTCGCACCTATTCTATAATAATCAGAAGAGCCTGGAACTCCGAGGAATACTACCATAGAAGCCAATAGAGTTCATGGAGTGTTACAACTAGGTTCAGGAATATGCCATGGTTGCGGGAATAATTCCCGATACTAGATTAATGATTAAAACCCTAGTACCAGAGCAACCAAGGGTTGTCGATTGAGGGATTGTTTATCAATCTGGTAGAATAGCTTCCTGCAAATTAGTAGGAAATCTTCCAGAAGATATCTGTGGATTGGATATGGAGCTATGGAGGTTTAAAGTCAGGTAACTTAGGGAGGTCACAATTATGAGTACCTTCGCAAATACAACCCATAGATGAAACTAAACATTTTATCAATAACGGAGACAATTGGGGCGAACTCAGTTTGACTTGAGAACCAGGCCATAAGTCTAAAGACTCTGATAATTGGATAATTACTATTGGGAACAGTATGATTGCCAGTTAGCTATATCACAATTACCAAAGATGGCGTGGTGATTTTCAAAGTCTCCTAGTGTTCACACCTTGAAGAATACCCGATGGTGGGAGTTATAATCAGACGAGGTACATAGATGTATAATAGATAGATGTATTCTGCGAATAGTCAGGTACAGAATATAAATATTGAAGTGCCTCCCAAGCTTGTAGACATTATCAAGCAAGGGAGATGAGACCTTAACAATATAATATTGTCTTTACGATTCTACTCTAATTTACCTACTTTACTTCGCTCCTAGTAGTCATAAATGAAAAGAGTGTAATCCAAGCCTTCCTTGATGATCTCCATTTGCAAAAAATGAATCTTAGTTGGCCTAGTCAATTCTGAAGTCTATCAGTTTGTCTCTGACTAACTGTGACTTACCTTCGACTTCTCTCTCACAATACCTTCCCTTTAGATAGTGTGGCCAATCTCAGACCTCGATTCTAATACCTTATCCTCCATGTAGTTTAGGACACTGGTCATAAGACTCTCTTCCTCTACCACTATGTCTTCTCACCTCCTTAACCTCTCATATCCCAGAATCTTCCTTTCACTTGATACGACCCAGAAGCCTAACCAAAAGTCCCCGGATCAACTCCCATTTACTTCTTCTTCCCAGCTGGTCTTAGAAGGTGATACTCAATTCCACCCTACTTATGTTTTCGTTCATCAAACATGGCCCTGACTGTCCAAATATTTTGATTAAAATTAGAAACAAGATTGTTGCCCAGGGAGGTACCTTTCTGACTGTCAGAAATGATCTGAGATGTTTTAGCTCCTGCTTGGTTAACCTTTCAAGGAGCATAGTACTCTCAGTAGACTTTCAGCTGAAACACACTCCCAGAACATCCTGGATTCTGCACCACACTGGCTAAAGTTTTTTGAAATAAAGTACTCAACATGGTTAGCTCTGAGGCCCAAGTACAGTTTGTAGGTATAGCTTTCTCATTCTACGTGTTCCCAGAGAGTCACATTCCAGTCTCTCAGATCTTACTCTTCCTACAATCTCCCCCTTCATGAAGTGCACAGAGGAATCAGTAGATTAATCTCAGGACATTGGAGTTTTCAAAAGCTAGCCCATGTATGTAACAAGACTGCATAGAGTACTATTACAGTTAGCCAAACCAAGGCCCTATTAGGGTCAAGAGACTACAGCAGTTGGAATGGTAGTAGACCAGAGTACAGAATAGAGGAACTATTGGTTAGGTACCTCAGTTGGACATGCTACACCATGATAAGAAGTACATAAGTACTAGTAAGAAGTGGTGGTTACTCTACTTGATAGGGTAATCTAAGTAGTCAATTTTGAGTTACCATGAATTGCACAACAGTAGATCTGGGAAGAATTACCCTACTCTATTTGGTGACTCAAGGTTCTATTACCCTACCTTTGGACTAGAGTTACCCTCCCTTGGGCCTAGGTCACTCTGTGATACAGTCAAGTTACACTACCATAAAAGTAACTTGTTACAGAGGACTTCAGGAGAGGTTGTTAGATTGTTTATCATGCTAGACTAGATAAGGTGTTTAAATTTCAGGTTGTGCAGATCACTCCCGCACAATCAGTTGAGCTCCGAACAGGCTGTAACCTGGAGGTATAGTGGCTAACACCCCCCTCCTGCCCAGCTATAAGTTCCAAGCGTCATGCATGGGCTACAGCCAGGAGAGTTGCTGTAAGCCTAGCAAAAGTCTACAAGAGGAGACACTCCTGTAAAATGGTAGACACGTACACTATTCATCTGACTGGGAGTGGTCTGCACGATATATGAAGGGGTTGAGGTGAACTTGGAGAATGGACTCCAGGTGGTTTCGTGCAAAACAGACAAGAGCTGCAGGAGTAATATCACTTTGAAGTAAGAAGTAGTATGTGAGGTTACTAGAAGCCTATAGGTAAGGTAACGAAAGTCTGTTGCCCGGAAAATATAATAGTATCAGAGAATCGTAAAGGACTTTGAGATACTAGTCTGAGGTCACGATAAGATCTGGTTCTTGGAGGGTTGACTTTAGGTAGTGCCTATTGGTAGTCATCTTCCGAAGGGATTCATCAGGAAAGCTAGGTAACTATCATCCAGAATCATATAGAAACGAGAAGAACTAGATAGATATTCAGGGGCTGTGGATGCTTGTAGAAGACTAGGTGTATATGGGTAGAGAGTTCTATAGCTGGTATTGAATCTGTTGAGGCATATCAGCTCAGCACTGACATGTTTACGTTAAGAAGTGTTTCTACTTCTGCAGTTGTAGTGTAGATCTAGCCACTAAAACACTTCTGTCGAGTAGATATTAGCAAACCACGGAGTAGTCTGGTTCACTATGAAGGGTCTTTAGTTTAACTGGTAGAAGTATATTAGACAGCTCAAGGGAGCTGGATGCTTGCAAACGCCAAGTATGGTGCATTGACAAAATTAACTGTAATTTAATAATCGGTGGCAACCTATGGCTTTTCATCACCCTGTACTCTCAACCGCATCTTAAAACATTGCTCTAAGTCTACCAAGAAGAAACTATTCTGCTCGATTCTTTTGCACAATAAACTATACCTCCTATCCTTCTCAGTCATATCAAAATACCAATTCCCTCCATACATATCTCTGAGTTTACCACATGGAGGAT